GGGGAAGTTTCCTGAAAAACTGTCCTCAAAGGTCCAGCCCTGCAGACTTCAGAAGAAAACATAGATACTTTGAATAACCTCTGGGTGTCTTTATTAAAAATCAATTAATACAACTAATATGAGAATTAATACACACGATTAATACAAGAATTCTAAATCTTAAAGCGTCAGTCTTCACAAGTGGATGTTAAATCAATTTGCATTTTTATGCAGAAAACAATTATGTGTTAAAAGCTTTCCCTTTCCACGTCACAGTGACGTCTACCCCAGGCGGTGGTGATCCCGGCTGTGGGCGGGGACGGGGAGAGAGGGCACCTAGGAGGGACTTTCACGTTAGATGTCACCTCCCTCCCTTCAGCATAGGCTCTAGGATTTGATCATCACCTTTATGTGCTTATTTCTCTCTGGAAAAAAACACGCACAGTAACTTGAGAACATTCTCCCCTCGTCCTGCCCAGCAGTCCTCTCTCCCAGCCTGATCTCCTTGCTCTTAGCATCCGTGTACCCACGAACATGCAAATGAGCGCGCTTCTGCTCGCTTAGCGGCTCTCCCCGGCGGAGGAGAGCGTGGCTGCTCCATCACGCCGATGCTGTCATCCTCAGCGGGATGTCTTCCCCGTCGCGCTTGCACCGGAGTCCCGGGCAGGCAGGTGCGCAGCTGGGAGGGACCCGCTGTGCTCCGCAGAGCCTCATCCTCGATCGCACTCCCGTCTCCGCTTTGAACCTGCCTGCGGGGAGGAAGGCCGGACGGTGCACCTCCAGCCGGGCCTGATCACACATCCACGTCTCTGCGGAGCTCGGGCAGACGCTGCCCAGACCAGATCCAGAGGCGCCTTTGATGCACTGCGGGGAGCATAAAGACTTCTCTGGAACCAGATAAAGATCAGGCCGGAGGAGATGGGAGAGGACACTTTGACTGTTGTTTTTTTAGGTTCCTCTTTTTTCATCTCTAGACCATACAGCGGGAGGGCGACAGAACTCCGCTCTGAGAGAACCTTACGATAGAATGTTATCATCTTACGCGACCAGGAGCGTCGGTCTGTTCCTGTCCTTCACAGCACTTGCACCAGGAGAATTTTATACTTATTTAGTGTTTGTTGAGTATCCCTCTTCATCACTCTTCAGCAAGGTCTGCAAAGGCAGGACGAGGTCTCTCCGGCTCACCGCTAGCCCCAGCCCTGAGCTCACACCCGGTACACAGTCGGCGCCCAGTAAACACTTGCTGAGTGAGTGAAGGAAAGGATGTGTTGTTTGCACTCCGTAGATAAACCGCGGCGAGCATTGCTGACTCCCTCAATGTCGTGGGGCTGTTAAGTGAAACAACAAAATACCGGATGCGAGGGCTGTGTCCACCAAAAATTCACCCCATCATTTATTTCGCCCTTTAAGAGGTGGGAACTATGGTTTTTGCGTTGTTTTCTCAGCGGGAGGGGTGCTGCTACACATAATGTCGTTATGCAGCCATGAGGTTCAACTCCAAAAGCACAAATGCAAAAGGGAGGCCTTAGAGTTGTGCCAACACTAAATGAGTAGCACCGAGGCATGAATGAGGGGTGTCAGCCTAGCGGCCTCAGAGTGTTTATTCATGAAGCGTTTTCTGTTCATTCTCAATTCATCGTCGAGTGTTTGTCAGGATCTGAGGCGGACAGAGGCGGTTGAGGAAAGGAGGTTGTGGCCGCGGGAGGAGACTCGGTCCCTGCCTTCCAGGGCTGAGGGTGGAACTACAGCTGCATGCTCTGTGAGCAGACCTGGCCCTCCAGAGCCCAGAGCAACCAGGGAGGACTTCAAGGAGGAGGTGAAGGCAGTGGGTGACATTGGAGTTGAATTTTGAAGAAAGAAACAAATTCAGCCTGGCAGCGAGGCAGGAGAAAGCAGGGGAACGCTCGTGTGACGTCTGCAGGGGAGGAAAAGCATCCTGTCGTGAGAGCAGCGTGGGTGGCCGCCCTGTTCTGCGGGTCATAAGCCTGAGTGTTCCTGGCCTCACCTCATGGAATTCACAGCAGTGGAGGCTCTGGGTTACGATTTGCTTTGCCAGGTCACAAATCCGGGTTTGTCTGACGCCAAACCCCGCCTAGCAGTAATTACGCTGTGAAACTTCCAACAGTCCCTTCTTCTGATAAATGTACCCACATCTCGGGGCAGTTCGGTCCATTTTCCACCGGTGCTTTTTCTACCTCCTTTGAAATTAATTATGCGTCTGTGCAGATAACTCAGCCATGTCTCCTATTGTGCCGTGTGGCATTTCATCAGCCACTAGCTGGAATTGATATTAAACTGCTCTATCTTTTTATGTGTTTTGCCCTCTTCACTCTACCTACGTTCTACAGCTTTTGCAGCAGTCTTGGACAGCCCTGGAAGATGCGTGCTCGTCACAGACACTGGCCCACATCTGCCAGCTGTGGGGTCCGTGACTTTGATGCACTACACGGTTATTTGAATTAAAGACACACTTCAGACTAATACCTGTTCGTACCATTTTCCCATAAATAAGTGTCATTGCAACAATAAACATCAATTTATTTAGTAACATAAAAATAAGAGTGGGTATTATGATTCTTTATGTAATTGAACATTAGTAAGAAATGGAAATGCTTTAATAAAACGCTACTTACATAATTTCATCTCGTTTCTTCAGGTATAGATCTGGGAGGACCTGATAATGTCTTTGTTTCAAGGCAGATAGACTTAGGTGCCGCTCTTAGACAGCTTAAATAGGCTTCAGAAATGCATATATTATGCATATAAATTATATAAATTATGCATACATTTATGCATAATTTCCACTTAATCCATTGCACTGGATGGTCCAGTGGGTTTTGAGCTCAGTCACAGGTGATAACTGACTAAGGATTTTTTTTTTAATCATGTGAGAAAGACTTTATCCTAAGGGGATTTTGAAAATTTGGGTAATATATTAAATAAAACTGAGATAATTTAGCTTAGAATTATAATTCTTCTAAAGTTCCCAGATTCCAGGGGAATGATCTTGACAAAATAGCCGCCGAGAAATAGTTCACAATTATTTCTTCCAAGGGAGAATTTTGGCTGAGGGACTTTGGAGACAAACATACTTAACTTTCTAAAATCAGCCATTTTGGGCTCGCGTTTCCTTTGCTTCCTTTCAGCCCCCTGCGGCTACAACGTGACATCTCCGAACGGCACCATCTACTCCCCCGGCTTTCCGGACGAGTACCCCATCCTGAAGGACTGCGTCTGGCTCATCTCCGTTCCGCCCGGGCACGGGGTCTACATCAACTTCACCCTGCTGCAGACGGAGGCCGTCAACGATTACATTGCCGTGTGGTGAGAGAACTTCCCGCAACGCGCAGTCTGAAATTGTGATAGCCTGTCCTGATTCAGCACTCATACGCCTCTTATCTGTCAGGTGATGTATTTAGAACAGACGAGTCGGAAAGGAATTTACCAAGGAAATCGGGAGAAATAGAGAATAAATTTCACGTAGCATATTTGGGTTTTGCTACATGGTAGAAATATCCAGGATTGTTTTTAACAAGTGAGAATGTCCCAAGATTATTTCATTTTACATTTTTAAGTGTGTTTTTTATTTTCTGAAAGAATAGCTGGCAGGGTCCTTTGCCATCATGTGACGCTTTTAGGAATATGGAAGAAAGGGTCACACAGAGAGTCCCGTCCGCCGCTGTAAACGCTGCGGAGCCGCCTCCGTGACCTCTGTGGGTGACACAGGGACATGGTGGGGTCTGTAGTGCTGGCTCTTCCCACGGAGCCACCCTGAGGGGAGGGCAGGGCCACCTCCACCGCCGCTCTCTGTGCTGAGGGCTTGTAGGGACACAGCGCTGATCCTCCCGCTGGGCTGGCACGGGAGGGGACCTGTCCCCTGGGCACCAGGAGAGAGGCGCCATTGGAGTACACTGCCAGGAACACAAAGGGTGATCGCAGGTGGCAGCTGCGCATGTGTGTGTGTGTGTGTGTCTATGCGCGTCCTTTCCTGTGTCTGCATGTAGGGCTGTTTGCATGTCTGTGTGTGTGTGTGTGTGTGTGTGTGTAGGAGTGTATGTCTGTGAGTCTGCATGGTGTGTGGTGCGTGTAAGTGTATGGCTGGGTATGTGTGTGTGTGTTTCTGCGTGGGGAAGTGTCTATGCATCCGTGTGTCTGGTGAGTAGGTGTATGTGTGTGTGTGTGTGTGTGTGTGTGTGTGGTGAGTGTCATGTGTGTGTGTGTGTGTGCATGTCGTGCGTGCGGTGCAGCAAACCTCCTGTCAGAACCCGCGGGGCAGCAGTGGACGTGCCCAGCAGCTGCAGATGGCAGGAATCGGGTGGGGCTTTCGGGCGTCACTCTGAGCCGTGCGGGTCCGCGGGAGGGTGCTGAGCAGGCGAGTGTGAGGCCAAACGTCGGCTGCAGAACGACCTGCGCACTTTGTGAGCCTCACAGTCACGCAGGCGAGGAGGAGGCCGCGCAGGCTGTGGACGTAGATCTGGGCGGGAGACGGTCATGACCTGGGCCGGTGGGCGTGAGAATGAGGAGAAACAGAGAACTTGAAATACTGTGTCACCCCACAAAACTGCCGTTCCAAATGCAAAACAACAACAGCACCACCATACGTGCAGTTTCCCAGGTTTAGAAGGTGGAATCGTTGGGTGTCGACAATCGATCCATGTTGGTGCCCACCGTCAGACGTAAGGAAAGACAGTTTAGTCGACGTGTGAGCATCACAGGTCCTGATCCTTCCAAACAGGATCCAGAAAAAGGTTCTGAGTCACTGTTTGTAAAAAAAATCTTAATTCATTAGCAAAGTTTTCCCTAACTGCACTCATGACTAAATAGACGTCTGCTCCAGCGACCTTCCTGTCTTTCCCAGGGACGGCCCGGATCAGAATGCCCCGCAGCTGGGCGTTTTCAGCGGCAACACAGCCCTCGAGACGGCCTACAGCTCCACCAACCAGGTCCTGCTCAAGTTCCACAGCGACTTCTCAAACGGAGGCTTCTTTGTCCTCAATTTTCACGGTCAGTTTCTTTTACCCCATTGATTAAGGTGGAGAATTTCACGTGAGGTTCACGTGGTGGTCATTCGCGCCTTGTTTCCAGCCGAAGTTCCTGGACTCTGCCGGCGCAGAGCCTGTGGGGGTGTCTGCGTTGGAGGCCAGAGTCTCCTGGGGTCTTTATCCTGTGCTGACATCTTCATTATTTCACAGCCTGTCTTGTCACGCTTGGGTTCATTCCAAGATAAACGTATTCCAAGTGACGCCCTGATAGGAAGCCCATTGAGATACATTTAGTAGCTTTTATAGATCTGCTCATCCGTGTGTCCAGGTGAGATGTTGTAGCAAATGTCAGGTAATTATAAAGGGAGCGAAAGCAACGCTCTGATAACCTTGAGAACGAACTCTAAGCACCGTGGGAACAAAGTCTGCCAGGGACTCTGCCACCCATGGAATCCCTGAGGACAAGGGACGCAGGAGACCGTGTCAACTCTGAACATGGGCAGGGAGCCAGGGCCGAATCATTTCTCTTGCAGAATTCCAAACATGTGTAAAATGGGTTTCTTTAAATGTTGTATGTTTTATTAATTGTGTACTTTCTTCCCTTGCACTTTATTACTTGGCATTAACTAATCCTATGAGCATCTGAAGCTTCAGAATTTTGTAAAACAGCAATTTATAAATACAGACATTTCAGTGCACTTGAGCAGGATAACAACTTTAAGAGGAATGTGGTTCTTTTGGTAAAATGAGTATTTATTCAGCAAATGTAATTGCAATTATCTCTTTCCCCATCAACCGTGTAGCATTTCAGCTCAAGAAATGCCCGCCTCCTCCAGCGGTCCCCCAGGCAGAAATGCTCACCGAGGACGACGACTTTGAAATAGGTAACATTTCCCCCCTCACAATACCATGAACTCAACCTGACTTTTATATCCACCTCTGACTGCAGTAGTTAGACTAACAAATAGGTCATTTGTCAGAAAACAACTATCCCTAAAGCATTGCTGGGAATTTATTCATGTATCACATAGAAAATGGTTTTATTTCCTATTTCCAAGTTTTATTTTTGTTTTGCCATTTGAATTTTCCTTTTTTCATTTTGAGCATTTTTTTTTCCTCTATAACATTTTCTAGTTAATTTTTTTTAAATAAAGTTTTCAGAGACAGACTTGGGTAGATACTTGCATTTAAGTATGGGGACACGTTCAGGCACTTGAGAAAGAACTTAACATTTGTGTCTAAAAGAATGGTTAGTGTAACACTGACCTTTCATTGAAACTGGAATATAAGAATAGAGTAGATTCGATGATCATATTTAGAAATTCTGCTTTACTATTTTATATTAATGGCATAATTCATTAGATAATCGTCTGATCATATTGAGAAAGTAGCCATGACATATGTTTGTGATATAATTACGGTGACCCGGGATTTCTCTGCCCCAAGTAAAAAACTCCATCCTATTGTCACCTGGGGTTTCAGACCATGTGACCCAATTCCTGCTGTACTTATAGCGGCTTAGTGCGTTGGAACATTGTGCTAATTAGGCCAAGGTCATGGACGAGCCCTCTCCGGGTGCACTAAAGCCCTCCTACTCTTCAAACTTGCTTAAATCATACACATCTATTTCATTAAAAAAAAAAAATTGGTAGTCATTGGGGAAGGGGAACCAACGTAGAAGGATTACTCAAGGAAGAAAAAACCTGCCATGTAATTTCTGTACTAATATCGGTTAAGTTTAAGATAGCATTTTTGTAAATTAAGAACTGAAAATAGTGCTATTTTTTAAGCAGGTGAGAAGTAAATGCAGACGTTGTTTCTAAACAGGTCTGCATGTTGACTTAATCCGTGAAGTAGTCGTGTCTGTCTGTTCACACCCTGCATGTCACAGAAACACAACTCCCTTGTTTGTGGTGTTGGCCCCGCAGGAGACTCCGTGCAGTACCAGTGCCACCCGGGCTACACCTTGGTGGGGACGGGCACCCTGACCTGCAAGCTGAGCGCCCAGTTGCAGTTTGAGGGCTCTCCCCCGACGTGCGAAGGTACGCGCAGCCGGACGCTAGCAATACGTCCATTATCCAGCATGGAAAGCGGTATTCTTTGTCTCAATCTGAATTTCTCTGAACTTAATCTCTGTCTGTGCTGTGATCCCATTGCAATCAAAATAACCTGCTAACGGCCCTTTCTTTTTAGCTAGACCTAGAAAATAAATCAAAGCCACGTAAAATAAGAAACCATGTTTTTTTCCACAACGATGTATCATGAAAACGTTCCAACATATAGCAAAGTTGAAATGATTTTAAGAGTTGAATAATCTAACACCCGAATACCCACCACCTGGGTTCCACCATGAATACTTACAATACTCCCTTTATCACACCTCTGTCTCTCTGTTATCTTTCTAACCATCTGTTATCTCATATTTTTGATGCATTTCAAGGTAAATTTGAGCATAGCTTCGTTTCTTCCTTATGCTTTGGCATGAATATAATGAGCAGGTGTTTAATATTTTTGGTGTAAACTTTATAAACGATGAACCACACACATCCCATGTTTTATGTACATGCCTTTAAAGTATGTAGATCATGTGCAAGAACATAGACAGCATACAATAAAAGCACAAGGTTTGAGTCTGAATGCATTGATTCAATCAATTCAAATGCAATTAGATTATTTTTTAAAATATCATTTAATAGACACCATTGAAAGTATCACTGAAAGAAAAAAGACTTGAAAAACTATCTTCTTAGAAAGAACCAGCTTCTCTACCACGTTACAGGAGCAACAGTGATCTACTTGTAGATGTTTCTCCTGAAGGTGGGGGCATAGAAAGTGTTCATCCTTTGCCATTTTATATAAAAATGAGCTGAGGCAAATCTTCCCCTTCTTAAGGTACATTTTATTGCAAAGATCATAATCATGGCCTTACATTTCTCAGCATAGCTGACTCTAAGCAAAGGTGGCGTTAGGGTTCAGACGTGAGGAAAGGCATACATATTTATTTCATGTGCTACTCTAAAAACAGAAAATCTGCTCTTATGATGTCGTCCCCCCAGATTAACCTAGTTCTTACTTAAATGAAATTTAAATCATAGCAATCCAAGAACGGGGCACAGCCATACACCGCATTTTTGTCAGCGATGGGCCACCTGTAGGAACGTGGTCCCGTAAGATGAAGCTAAGAATTCCCATCGCCTGGTGGATGACATCTAGCAGTGGTAATGTCATAGCACAACGCATTGCCTTTCTGTGTTTAGGTGTGTTTGGATACACACATATTTACCATTCTGTTATGGTTGCCTGCTGGGCCATGGTGCATTACAGCAGCACCGCGGTAGAACATTGCAGCAACCTGCTGCCCAGGTTGGCGGCCCAGGAGTGACAGGTGTGTAGGAGGGTGCACCATCTAGGAGGGTGTCAGCACACTCACTCTGTAATGTTTGCACAGTGACAAAGTTGCCTGAGGACACATTTCTCAGAACACATCCCCATTGTGAGTGACGCGTGCCTGCAAATGAACACCACACGAGTCCTGTTCTCTAAATCGCCCCGGCTGCCACACACGTTGCAGGGAGCATTCAGCACAAAAACTCTCCTCCTTTACTCGTGCCAGAGACTCCCACGCCCTACGGACCTCCCAGCCATCACATTACAGCATGACACACTTCTCTGCTTGCTCAATTCCGTAGATTTGCTGAAAAAGAACCGAGAGTGACGCCAGTTGTCATTCTCTGAACGACTCTTAAAGACAGAGGACAGAGATCAGGGTGTCTTTTGTCACACCCATGATCACTGAAGCACTTAATTATAATCTCTCCTTAGGTTCCTTTCTATTATTTGATTGATTTGATTGGGCTCCAGTGGGGGCTGATCTCCCAGTAAATTCTTGAGGGGACGTTGTACGGGCTGTTAGTGCCACTTCTGCAAATGTCACAAGCACGCTTTCAGAAGTTCTACTTTGAAAATGCCCCAGGTTTGGGAGAGACAAGGAGAGTAAATTGTTCCTCGTTTATAGGCAGACATTACCGTGTTAGGTATTTACCTTTGTTTAGTAAAAAACTGAGGAAGGGATATCACATAAACGACATTTCTCATGTTGAGGAAAGAGAAATATTTCACAAAGGGAAGAGAAATAACGAAGGTTTGGAAACGCAGAAGGGCCCGTGGCTCCTGGCTGGTGGCTCTGCGCTCTCAGGGTGTCTTGGGGGAAGACATACTGAGTGGGGCTGGAAAGTAGAGCCAGATGTTGAAAGCTTCAATGTCAGGTTTCTTCGTCCTGTCAACCATGGGGACCCATCAGTAGTTTTCATAATATTAATTTTTTAAAAAAAATTAGAAGCAGACATTATCAGTGAACACTAAGGAGAATCATGACCTTCAGATAATGACCACCACGGAAAGCAAAAGAAGGAAGCTGCGTAAAAGCAGCCGCCCAGCTCTGGCTGCCTTCCGCACACACGCGGTAACCAGGGCTCGGGTGGCAGCTTCTCCCACCTGTTGGCAGAGTGTTCTCAGTTTCCGCAACTCTCTCCTACCTGCAGGTGCTTTTAAGAATTAATCTTAATTACTTGTAAATCCCGATTCATGTCACTAATCCTATATTACAAATCTTCATCTTATATTAGTATTACTTTTGCTGAAGGCCTGCAAGATGCATTAAACAAGGCGCTTTGGGTTGTAAGCCCCACGTTTGATTTTTCTTCAAAAATAAGCTAAAGAAATAGCACTGTGCAGAGGGACGATGGCTCGGAGCGGAAGCCATGTCTGCGAGAGGCAGGCTGCTTTCAGGTGTGTTTTTGGCAGGAGCCTTGAGCAGGTGCTGCCCGGCGGAGGGAGGCCTCCCAGACTCCCCTGTGGAGAACCGCGCGTGTCTTAATGTAAAATTGCTGCCAGAGAAATGAGCAGCTCCGCCGTGGGAGAGCACACGGGCCCTCGCATCCTCCCCCTCCGCGCGGGCGTTGCTCCTAGCAACAGTTTGTAGCGGTGAGCACGGAGGGATGGGTGCGCAAGAAAGAGCAAGACAAACCGGGCGAAACCAAAAGAAAAAAATCACTTTGTTTCCTGGGAAAAAACATCCAAATGCATTTATAAAACAATACGCAGATCTGAAAAAAATATCATTAAATGTTGTAAGAAAAATGATACAAATAATTTTGCTCATATTTTCATTTTGTCTTCTCTAAGAATCAAAATTAGCATTTCAGAAATGAAAGGCATGAGAATGGCTGTAAAACGCTGCTTCTGATGTGGAATCTCTGCGCTGCTTTCAGCCCCTGGGAGGTGCTGACGGTTTTCCAGGTGGATTTTAGCAACTCAGTGGCAGGTCGCACATTTCCAGACGGTCTGAAGTTCCAATGCCATCTAATAACTGTAGCCGCGGTGATAAAATCACAGTCCCCATAAATGTACGGGGTGGAGATTGCCTAAGCATTTTTCCAGTGTACTACCGCAGAGTAACAGGTAGCATTCTGAGGTCAGGAAAAGGCAGGCAGGGGTCTAATCATCCCTAATCCCTGTAACGCCTTGTGCCCAGATAGTGCTTTGCAATTTAAGAAAAACATTTGCATCTGTTGTATCTAATCATCACCTGAGGGGTCGCTGTTATATAATAATATTTCCCTCTATTTACATCAGAGCCAGGAAAAGCTCTTCTTGCAAAGTCAAGGCAGGTCTGTGGAGCTTCTAAAACTCCGGGCCCTGGACTGCACAGGTGGACACAGACACACACTCTTGATTTCTTTATTTTCTTCTTAAAGTATCGGCATTCTCACTTTTGGATGAGCGTAATGAATCTTACAAAGCGATCCGACCACCATCCCGTGAGAAAATAGTACTTTTAACTCAGGGGTTTCAGTCTGTGTGCTCTGGTTAGGACTATTTTTGTTTATATTAATATTATTGCCGTTAATTTATCATTAAAAATATTTTTAAAGTCTCACCTAAAATATATATTTATTTAAAGCATTCTATGAAATGCTTCATCATAGGTGGTCTTATACCTACATGTTTTCTAAATTTCAAGTTACGCTCTTTTCCCAGGGTCCAAGCAATCGCAGCAAATGTTTAAATCTAATTATTCTAAGCACAGTAATCCCCGCCTCCCTTATCTGACGTTTCACTTTCAGCAGTTTCATTTGCCTGTGGTCCACCATGGTTGGAAATATTAAACAAAAAGTTGCAGAAATAAACAACTCATTCGTTTTAAATTGCTTGCCATTCTGAGCAGTGCGATGAAATCTCACGCTGCTCCACTCCGACTACCAGGCACTTGAATCCTCCGTCTGTCTGTTGTATCCAGAAGTGTATGCTCCCTGCCCTACACAACGTGATTGTATAGGAAAATCACAGGGCACATAGAGTTCCGTACTGTCCGCAGTTTCAGGCATCCACTGAGGGTAAGGTGTAGAAAACACTGAAATAAATGCAATTTTTGTTTTATTGCATAAAATGTCAGCATATTTTTAGTATGTATTGGAAAGGTGAGGTACTACTTTGCAGTTGCGTTGGGAAAACGTGGATGCTATACTGAAATCCACAAGGCATCTGCCCCAGATTGAGGTGCGTCGGGGATACAGGGGCTGCAGGAATGCGCAGGCTTAGGGGACAGGACCGGACGGGAAAGCTGCCTAATACTCCTTCCCGTTCACCGCCGCACTCCTGCCGTGTTAGCATCTGGTGTTAAATTTGCTCACAGCTCAATGAGATTGCTTCCTCTCTTCATCGGCTTGCGCATAGAGGGATTTTTGTGAACACAAACCTTCACCGATGCTTCTCTCTTCAGCCCAGTGCCCGGCAAACGAAGTCCGGACAGAGTCGTCTGGAGTCATCCTCAGCCCAGGGTACCCGGGCAACTATTTCAACTCGCAGACGTGCTCCTGGAGCATCAAGGTGGAACCGAACTATAACATCACCATCTTCGTGGACACGTTTCAAAGTGAAAAGCAATTCGATGCCCTGGAAGTATTCGATGGTAAGTTTCTTTAATCCTTGCATGCCAGTGACCTGTACATCACTGATGAAAACACCGTTACGTTTTAGCAACACGAGGACTCGGATACGTTCTTGAATTAAATTACATACCCCAGCCCCGCACCCCCCCACAAACAAAACCAACCTACCCGGGACTGTGCCATCTCAGAGATCAAGTGATCTATAAAACATTAACACATTATTATTAATGTTGCAACGTTTCAAACAATCGGGATGCTTAATGATACCTTGAAAAGGTGCTGAATTTTCTTTAACTATTCTGTATTTCCCTAATCTGGAGGTACAGAGGAGGTGGTCTCAAACAGCCTTCTTTCTCCTAAATATTATACTGATTCACAAGGTATTTTAGGAAATTTAAGCAGTCTAGAGGTATTTTTATCTAAATGATTATTTTACTAGAAATATGTAGAAATAATGGCCCATAGATCTCTAGGTAGCAAAAGCTACAGGAGTTTTTAATGTATAATTTTTTTTAAATAGTGAAATATAGTTCACTAAACACATGCTAATACTGTTTTCAACCCTAGCCTTATGATTTTTTATACATTTCTAATTAATCTTTTAATTTAACAGTGTTATGAGTAAAAGTAATATGTGATTGAATTGTGAATTTGAAATGGAGTGAATGTTAATAGTTTTTCTTTGTATAAAAGCATCATCATAGCTCAGAGATTTAGACTAGATAAAATTACAGCTGTACCTAAAAACAGGGTTTTCACATATTTCGAGGGATTTGTCATTGAGTTCAGACAAATAACAGTCAATTCAGTGAAAAAAATAAATCCCTCTAATTGATTCGGTATGTGTTTGTCTGCATTTTACTGACTTGAACCATCATAGTCAAATTTCTTGTGTGGATAGACAACATGTGAATCAATGTATGTATTTTAAAAGATGAACTGCTGAATTGGAAGTTAAACTCACATTTTTATACACAGAAATAGAGGATGGGACAACAGTATTTTCATTTTTAGAGTGTTTTTTTAAGTGTATATTAAACCGACATGGACTATTGAAGACTTACCCCTTAGTCTTTTGAGTAGAGAGAATTAACCCATCAGCAAAATATAAAAGTGGGGATTCTTATGCCAGTGAGGAAGGCTGCTAACCTATACTGGAAGCCTTTTAGGTGTCACAAAAAAATAAATAAAATAAAATAATGAGAGATGGGATCTCACTGTGTTGCCCAGGTGGGTCTCAAAATCCTGGCCTCAAGCTGTCCTCCTGCCTTGGCCTCCCAGAGTGCTGGGATTACGGGTGTGAGCCACCACACCTAGCTCATGTCTTTTAATTTCAGGAGCAGAATTCTTATCAATAACTTACGCACTACTGGCTTGCAATTTAATCTCCCCTAAATCTGAACAGATCACACCCATTATAAACAATAGCCAAAATAGACAATAGAACAATATCATAAAAGTTGCTGTCAAAACTATCAGAGATTTATGACTAGGATTGTGCTTGTCTCAAAGATTTTTCTATAAAATGAAAGGTCAGAGTTTTATATGAATAATTTTTTTAAGCGATGGCATTTTTGTTGCAGCAAATGTCATGTTCGTCTCTTTTTTTGTTCTTTTAAGACAGGGGCTCTTTTATAGTTCATGGCTTGACCAAAAAACACGTTGAATACCTTGATTTTAAACTTTATTAGCCCCAGAGTATATTACTCTCTATGGCTCAAGTAGTAGATATTCCATAATTTTTAAAAAGAGGATTTTAGTCATTCTAGAACTCAGTTGAGAATAGTATCAAAATTAAGATTGTAGTTCACTGGCAAAATACTTAGTTTCCGTCTTGGTAACAGCAACCACTATTCTCCTTTATAGCTGCGTTAGCTTTCTGCACACGCCAGCTGGAAGTTGGCTTTTGAAGAATAATCCTTCTGGAAAGTTTGCTACATTGTAGGCAAAGAGAGCAGATGGAAAAGTAAGGAGGGATTAGATGTTGGATTAAGGACACCTAAAACTTCACTCTTGAGTTCTGTCATTAGAAATGACATTTTAAAATATCATAAATTCAGGTTAATTAATTTCCCAGTGGCATTTTATTTCAAAATGCACGTCATCTCTTTAAACATCGACAAAGAAACCAGCACACAAAACACAACTCTGCCTTCTTCCGTCATAAAACACAGCCCTCCTTGTGCAGTGCACATTTCGGGACACTCACCCGTGACACTCCTTCTGAATAAGCGGCATGTTTCTCCTGACCCTCCAGCACTGTGACCACAGGCAAGGTTGCGTCGATTCTCTTCATTTAATATGCTTTTTGTGTGTGTACTACGGCTGCCGACACAAAGTACCGCACGCTGGGTGGCTCAAACAGAAACGTGTTTCCTCACAGTTCTGGAGGCCGGAAGTCCAGGGTTAAGATGTCACCAGGCTGGACTGTCCTGGGCCTCTCTGCTGGGGTTGCAGGTGCCACCTCCTTCTGTGCCCGCCTGTGGCTTCGCTCTGTGTGACCTTCTTTTCTCATGAGGACACTAGTCCTGTTGGATCAGGGCCCACCCTGATGACCTCATTTAACCTTAATTACCTCTTTAAGGACCCTCTCTCCAAAGACAGTCACATTCTGACTTCACCGGCGGAATCTGGGAGGGACACGGTACAGCCAATAACAGTTTATTTGGAAAACGCCTAGAGCCGCTCTGATTGGGCGTGACACCGTGAGTGAAGGGTGGTGTCTCGGTATCTTGGCGTAAATGAAAACTTTATACGTAACTCTCAAAGGTAGGCGCCACTTCTCCTGACAAAATATGTATTACAAACAGCAATTAGAGCCCCATTCTCCCAGTCTCTAATGCGTTTCCTGGGAGTGAACTGTGAGGTGCAGAAAAGCCCCGGAAGCTTCTAAGACGGTGAGGTAGCGTGCAGTTCACTAACAGAGCGGCACCGCTGAGGAGACCCTGAAGCGTGACAGCAATAAATCGATTTCTCTCAATAAATGGTGTTGGGTTATGGTGACGAGGGCCATGCTAGTTGACTCTACATTGCACTTGCTTTGATTAACTACGTATTTAATCCTAACTCTGTTTTCTTAATTTTTTGAAAACTTTCAAATACTGTATACAGAAAGATGAAAAGATGTTAAATATGAACTTCAGGATGTTGTCAAATTTAAATCTACTCCAGGCCCTTATTTTGTAAAGAAGCGAGGCGTGCGGGTGAATTTAGAGGCTCCATGCATATCCAATTCCCCTGCACCTCTCCTGGAGGAAATTAGTATCCTGAAGTCAGAGTCCAATGGGTCATTGCTATGCGTGTTTATAATTCATTCACTGTCTACATACACACATTGTATGCATTGCATGCTTTTGGATTTTTACATAATTGCTATCATATAGCAATGATAGGGGGTGAGAAGGGTACCTGGGGCACCAACAGGGGTGACCACCTCACACGCCCACTCTCGCTATCATATTTATTCACCTGCGAATAGATAATTTTAGTCATCAATATGCTATTTTAAGAACTGTCTATGCTGATACATGTATACCTAGGTTGTTAAATTCAATGCTGTATGCATCTGATTTCATTTCATGGCATTTTCCATTCTTCTTTCAAACCATAAACTACTAGTTTGGATCCAAAATTTACCATGAGAAATATTCTAGAACACACATTTTTGCTATATAAATAATACCTTTGTATGTGTAGAGTTTATAGAAATTTAATGAAATCTTCAATTTTACTGGGTATTACCAATTGCTCTTTAAAGTGATTGTACTAATTTATCTTCCCCTAGGACTGCACAAAAGTTTCTACTTCCCAGCATAAATATAATATTGCAAATACTAACAATAGTAAAAATTAACTTCCATTTTTTTTCAGTTACTGCTGTTTTGTAGACAAAGTTTGATTTAAATTTGCTTTAAATCATTTGCTTTAAATATTATGTCGTTAATAGCATGTGCACCTGAAATTATTTTTGTAGGCTGTTTTATTTTTATCAGGGAGTTTATTTGTTGCTATGGTCATTTAAAATCCTTTGTCCGTTTTGGGAATAAATAGCTTGTGTATTGTGCTTATAGACGCCAATTGGATCAAAAGCCAACACTCTGAGTTTTGCAGATGCTCACGCACATCTGAACTCTTTCGTTTCTCTGTTTCATTTAGGTTCCTCTGGGCAAAGTCCTCTGCTAGTAGTCTTAAGTGGGAACCTCACTGAACAGTCTAATTTTACAAGCAAGAGCAACGAGTTATATCTCCGCTGGTCCACCGATCACGCAACCAGTAAAAAGGGGTTCAAGATTCGTTATGCGGGTGAGTAAATGGAGTTTAGATCTAATACGAAAATGTTTTGGGTACAAATGACCTTCACTCTATAAAAACAATTTAAACAGAGAGTTACAATATAAACTTAATTTATGAAGATTGATAATTAACGGCAATAGAAACAGTATGATGGGAAATGACTATGAGCACTATCGCTAAAGTGCACTGGGAAATTTGTTGATAAATATTTTAAAATTTTATTGTTAAACTTATAAACCATTGAAATGCATAGCATAGAAAGCAAAGACATCTCCAAGAGAAAAAAATAATATAATCAAAAATAAGTTTAAAATATGTTTAAATGTTAAAGGAACAAGCAGAAGAGATAATTATACCAAGGGATGTCCGGAAAGTATCCAGCCATGTAACCATTCTCGTTATAGTAACAATGGCTGGATTGTTACATAACAAAATGCAAATTATTTTGTCTTTTCTCTGTGTACTTTAATTATTCTCTGCCAGTAGTTATTTATATTAATGTAATTAGTTAATAAACTAATTTATTAAATCAATCAGTACATTTATGATCTATTAAACTTTGTGTACAGTCATCAGTATGCTCTGAAAGAAGCCGTATAGTTACCAGCACCCAGGGAGTGAGATGACCTCCTGCAAACCTTTCCCTTAGAAGACTGAGCTATGTCACGAGCCACGGTGACACCCACAGGACCCCACGGTCTCCCGGCCCTTTATGATTTTCAGACTTTATTATCTCATCTCTAACTTCAGGGAAGGGTCTGCAGTCTGAGGTTCTTCCCATTTTCCATTATCTTTTTTTTTTTCACCAGCACAATGATCCGGGCAGTCGGTATTCAGGGTGGCTGGTTGTACTCATACTTTCCCTAAATTAAATATTTTGGTTCATTCAAAACTTACACAAATTTGGTCTAGGACAACTGGAAGTTCAGAAAATGGTTTGGCCAACAGAAACGCGAATCAAGAGATTCTTAACAACAGTTAGTGGATTTTCACTCAAGAAACACCAGCCTGTTTGAGACAAGATGAAACGGTGCTTCCGGGCTTGTCCGGCTGAGAGTGCTCTCTGAGGCTTCTCCCAGGAACAGGGGGACAGGAGCGGCCAGACACGCAGACATCGCTGCCGGGCAGGGCTACACGGGGAGACCTTCAGAAAGTTGCTTCTGAATTTGTTTCTAAGGGAAGGTGCAACACCCAGCGTTCAGACGTGTGTGCTTTTATACGGGATCCCCGCAGGGGAGTGGAACCTATAAAACCTCTTTTTAAAAAAAGAAACCAAGAGTTTCCAGTCTTTAACAACTTTCTCCGTTTTACTGTTTTAATTCCCCCGGAGGCAGTTCCTAGGATTTCAAGCAGCAGTGAACTGGCTGAGAAGTTTCTTTGTCTAAATGAGTAAATGAGACTCAGGGCTTTTAGCCGTGGGGATGTTACCTTCCTTGTGGGTGACACTGTTGTTGTGACAAATGCCTGTCTCTAGTTTTGAACAGTCTCCCTGCAAAGGGGCTGATTAAAGCTATCGTACGATTTTCATTGACCCGAAGTAGTACATTTTCTTCAAAGGTTGTGCTCAATTCCCATATGTTAAAAAGGCTGCTTATTGTCTACGTCATTGTACAATTCACAAGATTCACTTAACAGCAGCAACAAGGAAAACGTTAATGGCCTTGATTATGAACGTTATATTGTTTTATGTTCTCCGTTTTAAGAGTACTTTCTTTGTTAAATATTGAGGGCTTTTGTTTGTTTCAAATGTGGCGCCCGGAGCACCTTATTCTGGTGATCAGGAAGCTCATTTACATGGGCAACCAGCTCTGGAGAGATGGGTGAGGGTGTCCGGTGCGATCCTTCTGTGTCCTTCCTCACAATACTGTAGTCAGGGGTCGTTGATTAAGAGCTGCAGGTCGTCTACACTTCAGAGGGAGACTTGCTTTTCAGAACGAATGTCCACATTGGTGCGCAATGCCTACCATTTAGAAAGAGAGGTATTTTGTTTATCTGCGCCCGCCAAGGGAAGGGGCACTGGCCGTCTGTCTGTCTACTTATTTATGAATGCGTTCGCGTGCCCACAGCGCCCTACTGCAGCTTGGCCCCCACGCTGAAGGACGGTGGCATCGTAAACAGGACCGCGGGGGTCGCTGGAAGCCAAGTGCATTACTTTTGCAAGCCTGGGTACCGGCTGATCGGCCACAGCAAGGCGAGCTGCAGACGGAACCCCCTGGGCACGTATCAGTGGGATTCCCTCCCGCCACTCTGCCAGGGTAAGCAACGCCTGCTCCCCCAAACCCCACTTCTGTTTATTGCTCTTATTCCAGTCACGCTCCGAAGGTGAGTGAAGCAGTGACTAAGGATAAAAGGTAAGGAAACATTGAATGTTGGCTTATAACAGTCCAGGAGCAGCTTTCCGCTGACCGTGCAAACATTCCTGACATTTGCGTGAGGTTTGGTTTCGTTCTGCTGCCGGGACGCAGGGAACGGTCACATCCGATACGTTCTGGGCAGAGTTATTCTAATACTTATTCATATGTCATCTTGAAGTAAAAAAGCGTGTCCTCTGGTGATGATTCAAAATAATTTTTCCTGATAGTTCTGTTAATTTTAAAAATTCCATTACTGAAAAACTGATATTCCTCATTTTAGTTTAAAAACTCATTCTTTGAGCAATAAGTTCTGTATTTGATTTTCTTTTAGACATTTAAATCTGGAGCTTAAAGTTGATTTCAATATTTCATACCTCTCATTTTTTTTTTTTTTGCATTTTATCTATCATGTGCATAAAAACCTGGTTTTCAAATAAGGCATTTTCATTTTAATTGAAGGCATTGAAGTCATGAAATTTTCATAGTTTTGTCTTATCAAGGTTTATATTCATAATGTAATATATTAGTCTTTGAAAGATAATTATGACTTACGAGCGGAAACTCGTATTGGCTTCCTTTATTCTCTTTTTCGTTAGGTAACAGATTGTTTTGATATTGTATAAGGCAGTAATAGATACTTATCACACTCATTGTATGTGTCTTTAACCATAAGAAGTTGATCAGACACTTAACTTGTATTATTTACATTTTATCTCCAGAAATTCTTTTTTAATGTAAAATGAATGTAAAGATAGATCCAAGAAGCTTATCTCTTTGGGAATGGTTATTTATTTATTTTTTATTTAAAAGAATACCTTTTTTAGGAGAGCAATAAATACCTCTCATTTGCTCTAATGCTCTGTACTCTGTCACTGAGAATCTCTTGCTGGAGAGAGCCCACCTTCGGCTCAGAGAGCACGGCGTGGGCTCCGCCCTGTTGGCGTTAAGAACAGAAAGCCAGGGACAGAGTAATGATCCAAACAGCAGTCGGGACACAGGAGAGGGCTCAGAGCAGGACGGGCGGAAGCTCCTGAAATCATATCCTGCGCTGCACAGGCTGAGTCAAAACAGAGCCCCAGTGGAACATGCTGGGACCGTCGGGCGATGAGAGGGGCTTGGGGGAGGTGACATCACACGTGTCAGTCTGTCTCCCCGGTACACGGGGCGTCCTGACAGCTGTCGGTGAGATGGAGGAGTGGCCTGGTCGTTCAGTGAACGGTTGAGGAGGAATACAGGGCATTAGGAACATGGTTTGCGGATAAGTCTCGTTCTCTCTTTCCTTCTCCCGCTGCCTCCCGCGGCAGAGCTATTTAATGCCACGGCAAATGACTCAGAAATAAAGATGGTGCACGGCAAACCAGACCCTTCCGAAGTCTTGGCAGCTGTGGCCGAGCAATCTGAGGGGCACGATCGGTGTGTCTCTTCCTCGTGTAGAACGAGATTGAGAAGCAACGGCTTTGTGGACGTGGGATCCTGGAACCAGAAGTCACGTTCCACAAAACGCGTTAGAGTATCTTCTTTCCGATTTCATCTCAGGGATTAAAGACCTGTGTGAGCTTCTTCTCAAATCATGAAATACTGTACTAGTATCGCCGTCCTAAAACAGACCCACGATTTTCTACACTTTCTGCTAACCTTTCCGATAACCAGAGATGCAAGATGATCTTGTTCTTTCTTCATAAATTTTGACCTTTAAAGCCTGCAAGGACCTTAAAAACAATCTAGTGTAACTGCTTGTTTTTATGTTTTTGAAACTGGGACACATAAAAGTTAAATGACTTAATAATCATAAAAAACGTTGGTCTAGAATCCAGTCCTTCTGCCTGCCTCGTTAGTATTTAAGTGGAATTGTTTCTTGCCAAAAGAAACTCTACTTAAAACAGAATCTTGCAGATATGGATTTTGAAAGTAACCTCATTTTAAGTGCTTAAATTCATTTGTGGTGGGAGAGATCTTTTAGTCATCTCTTAGATATTTGCAATTTGTGTAAAATAGAATTTTAATTATAATATAAAATATTTGCATCATATATGATGTTGTAATTCTTAAAATAAAACAAAAATTTTGTAGAAAGGATGTTTTTGAACATTGAAATTATGTGGTACAATTATTAATAAATATTTTCATCATTTTAAAAATAATATTAAACTTTTAAAATAAAGAATAAAAGTGATTACCTGGATAGACAAAGACCATTGAGAAAAAAATTATAAAAGTTTTAAATAGCAAAAGGTTCTATAACCCATATGGGCAATTCATACCCCAAAGTTTTTTGCTTATTCTTAAAGAGGCATTAAACTTGATTTATCTGAATTTAATACAAAATGTATGTGTAATTGTCATAGTCTGTAATAAAGGGAGATTTGATTTGTTTAGTATTAACTATCCACTTCCCTTTTGTTACTTATAGAACGCAGAACTTTTACATGATGTAAATACGTTCTGAAGTTATAGCAAGCCTCGGGCTCATTCAGCATAGTTAGGAAGAGGCTTTTGCTTCCGTGACCCGTCTGTGGTGAGTTGTGTGCTATAGAAGAATTCCTTCCCCCATCGACCGATCAACGTGTGGAGTGGTTGTGTGGGCTGGTCGCTAAAGACACAAAATGAGTGAGACTCGTTTCTTCCCAAGGGACGCCCGCCTAGTCATGCAAAAAAGAAATGAATCACGGCAAATGCCATCATGGATACGACGGCTTAGAGTATACTTCTATCCATGAGGCTGTATATAATTAATTGACAGAATCCTTCCTGATGTGCAAATAGAATTCTTTCCAGGTGACTGTCTCCAAAAAAAATATGATGAGAGAAAATTTTTCAAAAATTATAAATTCAAAAAGTTATTTTTAGGTTAAATTTGAAAACGCTTTAAAAGTAAGAAGGCACTATGATTATCATAGATTCGTTGCTAATTTTCTTCAATGTTAAAGGTGCAAATATTCAGGAAAACCTATATTCTATTTGGCTGCGGGTATCTTGATTAGAGGAAGGTACGTCTCCTTTCATTTCAGCTCAGACTCACCTCTGAGTTGACGCTGCAGCTGCCAAGCTGAGTAAGCTCATCCCCGGCTCTTAAGGCTCTGGTGGTCCCGGGGGACAGAGACTCGTGAACTTGTCCTTACAGTTCAGCATAGCAGCAAGCAGGAGTGGGTCGTCATCGAACAGAAGGAGCACAGGAGGCCTGGGATAGTTTTCCCTTGATGGGACATTTGAGCTGCAATTTGAAGGGGATGTCATGGTAGAACGTGGGGTTGGGGGGTAGGCAGGGCGGGTCATGGGAGACCCCAGCTGCAAGTGTCTATGGCTCCACTTCCTGTCCTGTGGTTGACGTGAACCCATTTCAGGCAAAAGACATACAATCCTATTAATATCTGCATCTTAGAAAGACTGATCCTTTGTGGCAGGAGGATGATTGGAGTGAATCCTGTCTGGAATATGGGGGTGTGCGGGGGAGCGATAGGGTATCTGGGCGATACGAGGACCTCCATCAATACAGTGAGAATAGGTTTCGCCAGAAAGCAGATATTGAACATATTTAGGAAGTAGTCAGCAGACTTTTGAAATAGCATGTAAAGGGTCAGGATGAGAAAGAAATCTGGTGCTGGGAGAAGATAAAGTTTTTATAAAATTATCAGTAAGGACACAGTAGATTCAATTAGTTTAAGGTGTTGGGGGCATCAGTAGTATTTGTTTCACATGAGATATTTGACTTCATAAATTCCACAAGGACCAATTCTACTGGATACAATTGTAATAATTAGAAAAGAATACTATCCGCTGCAATAAATTTTAAACTAGACAGCTTGACCAGGAAATGAATAACCTCTGAGATTCTGACAAAAGATCACATTTGGTCAGAAGCAGTTATAAATCCTGCAATAAATCATCTAGAATGTCTTTGAGATAATTGGGAATTTAATTACCAATGTGCAAATGTTGAAATATTTTAAGACCTTCATCATAGTTATTTTGATTATTTTCATTTGAAAATAGGGACCTTGAAAATGGGGGGGAAAAGAAAAATAGATAAATAAAAAGACGGTTATGTCTTTGTGGCATTGGAAGCTTAAAATCTGTATTGATATATTTATTACTTCAATTATTTTTGAGTTTACATATAATTTTTTCTCAGTGATTTATTGGCATTTCATTCTTACACAAGAATAAATGCAAGTACACAATTTAAGCATTTTCTAAGTGCATTAAGACATTAGGTTTTTTTCTTTTATTTCTTTTATTTATTTTTTTTTAATCAAGACAGGGTCTCCCTCTGTTGCTTGGACTAGAGTGCAGTGGTGGGATCATAGCTCACAGCAACCTCAAACTCCTGGCCTCGTGTGATCCTCCTGCCTCAGCCTCCCGAGTAGCTGGGACTACAGGTGTGCACCACCATGCCTGGCTAATTTTTCTATTTTTTGTAGAGCTGGAGTCTTGCTATGTTGCTCAGGCTGGTCTCAAACTCCTGACCTCAAGTGATCCTCCCGCCTCTGACTCCCAGACTGCTAGGATTACAGGTGTGAGCCACCACACCCCCAGCCTAGTTTTTCTCTTTTAAAATATCATCTAGAAGAATATATTAAACTGTTTACTAAAATGCAACACTTGCCTTTCAATAAATGAGCAAGGTCAATACCTGAAATGTGGAGGTCATTTTCTTTCAGGCCCCTAACTACTGATCTTACTACAGTGTCTGTCTTCCTGCACCCCTCGGACACCAAGCAAAACACTCTGTCACTTGTAGCCATTTGGTAAATATTTTAAATAAAAACAAATCAATGTGACTTTCTAAGATATGTATTTGAGAATGATATTTTTCTCTTTAGACGTTATTTATCTTGTGCCAGAATGTGTTTTGTTCTCTTCTATTTTCATTGACTTTTTTGCCAGCAGAATTATAGACACAC